TGCCCTTGACCGGGAACCAAACCCAGACCCTTCGGTGTGCGGGCCAAAGCTCTAACCAGGGGCGTGGCCGGCTCTTACCGCATTGATCCAGTCAATGTAGTTGGAGACCCGGGTGAAGACAGAGGGCTTGTGGTAGTAGTTGCAGCCGAGGGAGGACCCGAAGCTGACCACGCCGTGCACCTCCCACTGGCCGTTGGCCTTCTGGCAGTTCAGGGGTCCTCCGGAGTCTCCCTAAGGAAGGCGGGCTTGCGTCAGGAGGGCCCCCGGGGGCTTGGCAGGCGACGGGAGGGGAAGGGGCTGCCCATAGAGACCCGTGTTTCCCATGGTCACAGCTCAAGGTGGCACCATAATACCAGCAAGAACTAACATTTGTTCTTTCTGTGTGCCTGGAACTGAGCTAAGCCCTTCCTTCCTTCCTTTCGAGAACAGCTTATTGATGTTTAGAGAGAGAGAGGAAGGGAGAGGGGGAGAGAGAGAAACATCGATGTGAGAGAGAAACACCAATCAGCTGCCTCCTGCACGCCCCCTACCGGGGATCTAGCTTCCAACCCAGGCGTGGGCCCCAACCGGGAATCGAACCCGCAATCTTTTGGTGCACAGGGCGATGCCCAGCCAACTGAGCCACACCGGCCAGGACTGAGCTAAGCACTTTCTATCTCATTGCATCCTCACTGGAGCCTACGAGGTAAGTATGGTTAGTGTCCCCATTTCACTGGAGATGAAATACTGAAGCTCTCAGAGGTCGTGACTTGCCTGAGGTCGTACAGGCAGAAAGTGAAGGAGCTGAGACTGCGTCTCACGGTCACAATGCCGGGCACTCCACTGCCACCGGCCATTTCCACCCACGATGAGGGACCTTCCCAGGGGCCGGTTTGTGGGGCCTGACGGGGCAGGGAGTGCAGGGCACAGTGTGACCTAAAGGGCATGTGGGGCTCCTTCTCACTGTGTCCCCCTCTGCTGCAGAGTCCACCCCAGAGCAATTCCTTTCGGTTAAGACACTGTCTCCAGGAAGGCTCTGTGGCAGCTACCATAGGGGACACAATGGGCCATTAATGGGATTAATTCAACAGATTAAACTGGAAGTCACCTTAGAAAGGCCCTAACCCAGAGCCCCCATCCCCTTGGCTCCCCTCCTACACAGAGCTGAGGATAAGAGATGATGGTGATGAGAGACCCCAGTGAGACCCGAGGAAGGACTTCCTAGCAGCGAGGGGTGTGGATACTACGAGGAACATCAAAAAACACCTTCTCTGGGGACCACAAGGACAAAGGTCGGGGTCTCAAAGGTCTGGAGCTAGCTCCCGGTCTTCTGCGGGCAGGCAGGAGAATGGGTTTTAGGATCCCGGAGGCCCCACCGCATCGTGGGGGGCACCTGACTTCCCGCACTCACGTTGCAGCTGGAGATGACGCCATCGCCCCCTGCGCAGATCATGTTGGTCTTCACGGAGCTGCCCCACCAGTCAGGCCTGGAGCACGTGGCGTGGTCCACGACCAGCAGCTTGCCCTGCTGCAGGATGTCAGGGGCTGCCCCGTTGGCTGCACGAGACGAGAGGAGGTGTTAAGGGACAAGGGGGCGCCTGAGACTAAAGGAAGGGGGAGACGCCGGGGGCCTCCTGCCCAGCCCTTTTCCCCGGCCACTCTGAACCCCATCCACCCGTGGCGGCGACGGGAGCAGCCGTGCTCGTGGGAGTCTGTCCCGTTCCCGAGGCCCGGCCGTGTCTCTGCCCTTGGATGAGACCAGCTGGCTTCAGGGCTTTCTGTCACTTACCCTGAATGTAACAGTGAGCCCGCTGGCATCTGGAGCCCCAAGTTGGGGAAAATATTCCAATGTGGCGAAGGCAGAGCTTCCCTAACGGCCCCTAACGATACGGTCACTGTCACCTCCACTGTTATCACCGCCGCTTACGGCAAGGATTCATAATATTCGAATTCCACCCGTGCGCGGTGTTAGGCCTTTCCAGGCATGCTGACCCTCACCGTAAGTATTCATTCCTGCACCGCAGGTGGGGTAGGAAGCTGAGAGGAGCTAAGCAGCCTGCCCAGGACCACTTTAATGAAGAACTGACACGGACCATATCTTACAGTGCACGAAGCATTTTCCTAGCTCTTCCAACCTTGCCAACCGTGTTTCCATCGAAGCAGAGGAGGAAACTGAGGCTCCAACGCAGCGTGCCCAAGGTTGCAGAGCTAAGCAGCAGAGCTGGGCCCAAAAGCCAAGCTCCTGGACCTCCCCCCGGCTCTCGGCGCCTCCGATGAAAAGCGTGCAGCCCCGTGTCTCCCAGGTAGATGAACACGGGGCTGCGCCTGCATCTCGAGAAGCAGGAGCCCCCTGCCCTGCGGCTCACTTCGGCTGAGTTTCCACGTGTCCCTATTTGGCACATAGGCCAGTCAAGAGCGATGCTGACCTATTGGAGTTGCAGGTACGTCGACGTCCCTCTGGGAAAACAGACGACTTATGCTAATAGGTTTATGTCATCATGAAAGGAACCGTCCCCTGCATGGGCTTCCGAGAGTCTGCCGCCCCTGGTGATATGACAGGGGAAGGGCGGGTCCTACCAGCACTGGATTTCTGACCCTTGGGGTTTACGCCTAAAGGAGACGCACACGAAGCCAGGTTCTGAGCAGTCAAATCAGGTGGCTCGTGGGACAGGCAGGTTTTGACGTGTGGAGAGGAGGGTGTGATGAGGGCCGCAGAAGCCTGAGGTCCCAGAGTGAATGCCGCTCTGGACTCCGGCCTTGGGCCACACAGAGGAACGTCTTTGCCAGATGTCATGTAGTCACTGCTGCCCTCATTCTGTCACAGTGACAGTGGCAACTAACACGCTGCACCTACTATGCGCCAGGCACGGGTCTAAGTGCTTCCCGTGGATTATCTCCTTCATGCCCCTTCCCGGGTCCCTGTGAGGCAGGTGAGGAAACTGCTGCAAGGAGAGGCTGAGTAATGTACCCAAGGTCACACAGCTGGTAGGAGGAGGAGCTGGGATTCAAACCCAGGCAGCCCGACTGCTTATCGGTCTGTGCTCTCCAAGGCAGCCAGCATTTCTTCCAGACACCCTGGGGTGATGGGTGTGGACAGGGCCCCCGGCTGGACAAGGGCGACATTGCCCCCTCCCTCCCGGCACCCACTTACTCTGTAGCCGTCCCCAGCCCGTGACATAGCAGGTGTAGTTGTTGGGGAGGATGGTGCCGGCGGGAGGGAGGCAGCCCAGCTGGATCTTGTCACTCAGGGGGACGCGGCTGGCCAGCTTGAGCAGGGCAATGTCGTTCCTGCGTCGGTAAGGAGGTAGAGCAGACAGAAGGCGTTGACCGTTCCTGTCCTAACTTAATTTCTGATCTGGCCCCCGCTGGAACCACCGAAGCGCCTCCTTGGCCAGCCTGATGGGGAATCTTCCTTCCGCCGGGGCTACGAGGGACCGGCGAGCAGCTGTGGTTAAACCTGGGGCTGCATCTTGTCCCTGGTGGAGCTGGGAGCCCCGTATTCCAGGCACCCTGGACTGCAGTTTCTGGGGGGTTGGAGGTCCCTGACATCCCTGCCTGTCTGAGGAAGACGGCCTGGGCTGGGCTCGGTCACCATTGGTTACTGGGCTGCCTCTGCCGTGGGCTTAGAAGGGGGAGCTCCCCCAACTGCAGTGAGCTGCTCAGGTTTAGGTGTTCCCCTAAACCTCACGGGGCTGGGGGCCTGGTGTGTCTCACTCACTGCCGTTTCCTGGGTGCCTAGAACAGGGCCTGGCACATAGTAGGTGCTCAACAAATATTTATGGCATGAGGGTGTGAGTGAAGCCATGGCTCTGAGTTTTGTTTAGCAACACCTGGATCTCAGGATCAGCGATCACAGAAGCAGCCTGATGGCCCAGCACCTATTCTCTAGCCCTACTATGCGCTTCCTCCCCAGGTTAGGAGCTGGGTGGAGATTTCACGGATGAATCAGGCACAGCCCAACCCTTGCAAAATTCTGTCTAAAAGGGGGAGCCAGACACGAGCTAATCACTAATGCAGCGGGCTGTGTGCCTCGGCCGGCCTGCGCCTTGAGAGCAGGACCGGGTGGACTCTGCAGGGGACCTTTCCCTTCATCACTTCCTCCTTTCCTCATCTTCCCCAGGACCCTGGCCACCCCCTCCCAGGCCCCTTCCTAAGCACTTTACATACATCATCTCATTTAACCCTTGCAACAGCCCCAGAGGTAGGCACTGTTATCGCTCTCATTTTACCGAAGAGGAAACTGAGGCACAGGAGGGCTGAGGAGCTTGTGCGGGGTCACACAGTCAGGCTCCGGGTCAGTTCCTAACCACTACCCCGCACTGCCCACTGCCCCACTTAGGCCTCTGAGCTCCCCAAGAGCTGGCACGGTGACCCACACATCTCTGTGTGTCCAGCACCCAGAGCCTGGTGCCCAGCAGGGCATACGGCACATGGGTAGGGGGTGAGTAAAGGCTCAGGGTGCGCACAGGATGGTGTCTGTTCACCTGAGAGGGAAGGTGGGATGGGGCTGTTGTCATTTCCCTGTAAGGGGGAATAATTATGGGTGGGCTTTGGGGAGCTCGGAGACCCTTGTCATTTCCTGTGTCCATTACCCCCAGGCTGTCCCTGCAGGGTACCAGGGAATCTTTGAAAATGTCAAAGGCCTTGTTGGGAGGGGGGCAGGGTAGGGAATGGCAGGAGGCCCTGTGTCCTACTCCACCGACTGTCAACCGTCATGGGGCCTGCAGACCTCCTGCCTGTGTCCCCAGGGCTCGGCACAGAATGGATGCATTGTCAGTGAGGCCTGGGGTGGGCAAGGCATCTGCAGGCTTCACTGGCAGGGGACCCAGGTGGCCCTGACAGTCCTTTCCTCTCCCTCCCCCAGTTCACACCCTCATCCCAGGCACCTCTGGGGCTGGCTCTACTTCTATAGGTCAGAGCTCCTCCCTGCTCCCTACAAAAAGGGGCAAAGGAGGGGTGCCTTCTGCCAGACACCCTCCTGTCTGTGCCCCTGCAGACCCCACCCCCAGCACGCCCAGACAGAGGTACCCTTTGGAGAGCTGGCTGGAGTTCCAGTCCTCGTGCACCACGAGCTTGGAGACCTTGACTGCCAGGGAGCCGCGCTCCTCCGTGGAGAGGCTGTGCCGGCCCAACACCACGCGGTAGGTTCTGGAGGGGCTGGGAGGAAGGAGATGAGCGAGACAGTCAGCTCCCGGCTGTCCGGTCCTCTCTCTGCCCCCTCCCCTCCCCTGGGCAGGGACACCTCAGTGCACTGTCTTGGAGGCCTGGCTTTGGACAATGCTGGGGTGGGCCCAAGTGTGCCACTGGTTGTCACTTGGGAATTTTTCTTCCCTGGGACAATTGGTTAGTTATAACATAGTGACTACAACTATATAACCATTATAACTACACTAATGATAAACTATAGCAAAAAATAAAAGTTATAATAATGTAAATCCTAGGTTACCATCGGGGAAATGAGATGGATACAGAGAACACAGCAGTCATTTGTCCTCAGGGGCATTTTTTAGTTTAATCTCCCCACCTCTCGTTTTTAAATGGAGAAACTGAGGCTCAGAGAGGAGTGGCTGGTCCATGGTTTTATAGCTAGTGAGAATCCAGAACTGGAAGCCAGGACTCCTGACTCCCAGGCCTCTATTATTTCCCCCACCACCTCCTGAAGCTTATCAATTAGGTGGGGAGAAGGGACCCTCCTGGCAATGAGAGTCACACCCACCCTAGGGAAAAGTCACTGAGTACCTGCTGGGGTCAGATAAGCAGACGTCTATGTAGGGAGGGGAAAAGGCAGGTGAACAATGAATGTCGCAGAGCCTTTTCTTTCCCTGTGGGCCTTTATAGTGGAAACAGTTCACTTTCATTGAGCACTTACCCCGTGCAGGGCCCTTTAACACATCGTTTCATTTAATCCACATTAAATTTTGTTATCTGTTTTTTTTGTGGTTTTTTTTGCAGGTGATGGTTTTGAGGCTTGGTGAAGTCATTCAAGTTGCTTGAGGGAACCCGATTCCAGATCCGGAGGCCACATCCGGTACCCCAAGAGGGCAGGAAGTGGCCTCCCCTCCCCCACGTTCCTGCTCAGAGTCTTGCACAGGGCACTCAGTCCTGTTATGTGTTGACCCATTGACTGCCCAGCAGACTAGACTAAAGGCTGACCAAAGCCAGGCCAGCGGTTATGTGCAAGGTTCCTTTATACAGAGTGGGTCAGGGCATTCGGGCTCCAGCTCAGAGCTGAGTGCTGGCCAGTGGGGTGAGGGGGCTGGGTGTCTGGGAGCAGCACCTACCTGATGCAGTGGGCAGCTGTCAGGACCCAGTTTTGGGCCACCAGGGTCCCTCCGCAGGTGTGGCGCCACTCCCCATTCTTGTTGTACTGCAGGGACACCTGGGGAGAAGGTGGGTGCTCTGGTAGCTGAAAGAGCCGGGCCTCCCTGCTCTTCAGCATCCCATCCCCGGGAGCAGGGCCAGGGCAAGGCGAGCGAGGCACTTCTCTCAGGTGCAGTGTGCATGGGGCACCAAGACACTCAGTAATCAGATTAAGTAACATTCCAATGCAACATTAAAAAAGAAAAATAACACAAAACATCCATATTTCTTCTTTGCCCAGACCCTCCCGTGGCTCCCCATTTTACACTGTAAAACCCAAAACTGTACAAAGACCTACAAAGCTCGCCATGGCTGCCTTGACCTCATAGGCTCCCACTCCCCTCTGCTCCAGCCACACTGACCTCCAGGAGGTTCTGCAAAAATACACCAAGCCCACGTCTGCCTCAGGGCCTTTGCACTTGCTGTTCCTCCTACCTGGAGTATTCTCCACCCAGTATTAGCATAGTTTCTTTCTTCACTCCCTACAGATGTGTCGTCAAGGTTACCCTCCCCAAGAAGCCTCTGTGACCACCCTTCACAGGCACACGTGCACACTCATGTCCACACATACACACACACGGACACGCGTGTGTATGGGGAGTTGGGTGGGGCGGCTCCTTATGCAGCTGGAGAAGGTACCTCTTCCTCTACCCTCGGAGCTTGACCGAGGCCACAGAAATGTGTTTTATTGGTGACTCTTCCCACCTTTGCCAGTGCCACAGACCCCATGGTGGAGGGCAAAGGGCTGATGGGAGGTGGTGGGGCGGGGAGGCAGGAGGAGAGTGTGGGTGACTCACCTGCCAGGGCCAGCTGTTGGGCCTCACATCTTCACCTCCGACCACCCTGGGCAGATGGGGCTGGTAAGTGGGGAGCCCACAGCCGAGCGCTGTGAGGAGAGAGGGCTGTGAGTCGGGAAGCAGTGACCCAAACAGTGTAGCCTGCGCTCGCTGCATGCCCAGGCTCCATAGAGAAGTCCTGCTCTAGAAGGACCCCGAGAGGCGCAGAGTCCTGCCCTTCGCTCCACCTCTTTGGACATCACTCAGCTTCCTTATAAACCAGAGGACCAAGTCCAGTGGGGTCAGGGAAGTCCCATCCTCAATCCTACCAGGGGACTGGGAGGGTGCCTGGGTGACAGGCTTACCTCCAGCCACCAACACGGATAGCAGCAGGGCCCTGACCATGGTGTGTCCGTAGGAGTCCTGGACTTGGCTCGGGCCCCCCTTTTATGAGCCGTCTTATCGGCCAGAGATATACCAGGAGTGCACAAGGTGGGGATTTTCTCAAAGCCCAGTGGAAAATGGGGCCTGTGTTCAAATATTGTTTTTCCATTTTCTCCCACCTGTCACCCTGGAAGTACTTTGAAAAAGATGCCAAAGATGGACATTGAACTACAGGTTCTATCCGCTTCCAAGAGGTTGTGTTACGTGCTGAGGAAGAAAAAACATAGGGGGTGTTGGTCCTTGGAGCTGAGTTTTTAAAAGACAACAGCTGACCGCAAAGCATCCTGGGCCAATGGTTCTCCATGGGGTCAGTGCCGGCCATCAGGGGGCATTTGGCAATGTCTGGAGACATTTTTGCTTGTCATGGCTGGGGATGGCGTACTATCGGCACCTAGTGGGTAGAGACTAGAGATGCTGCTAAATATCCTACTGTGCACAGGACGGCCCATGACAGGAATGATCTTGCCAATGTCAGTGGTGCCGAGGTTGATGAATCCCATCCTGGCCCATAGCTTGCTGTGTGACCTTGGACGAGTCATGCACACCTCTGGGCCTGGGGCCTGCCCATCTGTGAAACAGCTAAGGAAAGATGCGTTCAGCCTGTTTTGCAACATTGTGGAAAGGATTTGAAAAGCACAGGGGACGTGCTTACAGAGGAGAAGGCAGACAGACCCACACGACTGGGGTTTGCAGCCCCAGCAATGGGGTGAGAGAGAGTGCTGGCGGAGGAGGGCGTTGTTGGATGGATTAAAATGCATTTTATTTCCCAGCTGGTGTGGCTCAGTGGTTGAGTGTTGACCCATGAACCAGGAAGCAGGAGGTCACAGTTCAATTCCCGGTCAGGGCACATGCCCAGGTTGCAGGCTCAATCCCCAGTGGGGGGGG